ACAGTCCTGGAAATAAATTTTATCGTTAATGTTTACGTTAATGGTTTCAGGTTATTCAATAATTAATTATTTTTGAAGAATGAGGGTGTCACTACGTCACCATGTGTCACTCGGTTAATTAACTTCTCTGAAAAAATGAGACAACATGACATTTTGACAACAGTCCTGGAAATAAATTTTATCGTTAATGTTTACGTTAATGGTTTCAGGTTATTCAATAATTAATTATTTTTGAAGAACTGAGGGTGTCACTACGTCACCATATGTCACTCGGTTAATTAACTTCTCTGAAAAAATGAGACAACATGACATTTTGACAACAGTCCTGGAAATAAATTTTATCGTTAATGTTTACGTTAATGGTTTCAGGTTATTCAATAATTAATTATTTTTGAAGAACTGAGGGTGTCACTACGTCACCATGTGTCACTCGGTTAATTAACTTCTCTGAAAAATGAGACAACATGACATTTTGACAACAGTCCTGGAAATAAATTTTATCGTTAATGTTTACGTTAATGGTTTCAGGTTATTCAATAATTAATTATTTTGAAGAACTGAGGGTGTCACTACGTCACCATGTGTCACTCGGTTAATTAACTTCTCTGAAAAAATGAGACAACATGACATTTTGACAACAGTCCTGGAAATATGATGCAGTCCAAAAATAAAGTTAGTTTTAAAATTATTTTTATTTTTTTATTCCTATATAAATGACAGCAACAAACAACAACAGCAACTATATCGTTTCTGATGAAAAATTTATTGATTCATTAGCTGAGGAATTAGTTGTGGCAGAAACTAAAACCCTCAACGAAAGAATTGGTGAAAACACGATTGATTTACATAACTACCTCAAACACGATGGAGGAAGAGGAAGGAAAACTGGTACAGCTTTATTAGCAAATAAAATTTCAAATTTAACGATTATAGATGTTGATATCAATAAATCGTACAATGATGAACTTAAAGAAACAGTTAGAAAAGATATTTTATCAAAACTTTCGGATAAAGATGTTATCGTTAAAACCGCTTCAGGAGGTCTTCACATTTATTGCAACACTAATTTCTTCTATGCAGTTTCGAACAGAATGATTAAATGTTATTCCTGCAATGATTATGATATCGATATCATGACTTCTATGGATGATTCAAAGCGTTCTTTAGTAGTCATGGCTGATTCAAGAGTTCGCAAGAATGCAACAGAACCAATCAATACATACTCATTCATTCGTGGAAGTTACGATTCAACATTAACCAGAACAGTGAATGATATATTAAATGATTTGAATATTAAGGTAAGAGTTGAACAGAAGAATGAAGAAATAAAGAGTATAATGAATGAAAACAAAGATGTAAACATTGACGATAAACTTGCCCAGAGCATAGTTGATGGCATCAGTGATTTTGAAGTACATAATGACGGTGGAAACATGAATTTAGAAAAAGAAGTTACATTATTCACACTGTTTCAAGCAATTAATTCGTTACCTAATCATTTAATTAATGAAGCATACGATAACGTTTATAACTTCTGCAATTTAACTGAAAATGCAAAAAGTAATTTTGAAAAAGCACGTAGTAGATATGCACATTTAATGACTTCTCCATTTGTTTTAGTGAAGATTCTAAAACTTTATCAAAAGGAATATTATGATGAATATGTTTTACCTTTATTACGTAAGCCAAAAATAACATTTGATATAAAACTTGATGACTCGTTTTTGATAACAGATATTAGACGCAAGGCTGAAAATCATCAGTATAAAAACAGTTCTGAAGTAATTGAGGATTTATCACGTGTAATCCGTTTTGTAGATTATGGAAACAAATACTTCATTCAGAAAGATTACAACATACACGACAAAATGAATCAAATATCATTCGTTCTTCAATCAAACATGAAAGAGTCACTCAAAATGATTAAATTATTTAAAGAAGAAAGTAAAACAATAACAGCATGGGATGTACTATTAAATCAATTGTCTTCATTAACCGTTAAGGGTGTTTGCTTTAAATCTGATTCTCCAGATGTTTTCTCAACGTTTCAGGGTTATAAATACAACATTCTCGAAAAGCCTGATTACTCAAAAATTGAGATGTTTATGAATTTCATTAAAGAAGCCATTTGTGATAATAATGATGAAGTGTATAAATACCTTCTCGGTTGGATTGCATCAATGATTCAACATCCTGGAATCAAGAATGAAACAGCAATTATTTTGAAAGGACTTCAGGGAACAGGTAAAAACAGATTTACAGACATTATTTCTGAACTCCTCGCTGGTTATTCATGTAAAAACATTACCGAAATAAGTGAGCTAACGGGTAATTTCAATTCGGTGGTTGAGAAGAAAATGTTTCTTGTACTTAATGAACTCAAGAATGTGGGTGAAGACAGACTCGCAAACTTCAACGCTTTGAAATCAATTATTACGGATAATGAGATTAGAATTAATGAAAAGAATCAACCCAGAAGAACTGCTCAGAATGTTGCAAACTTCATTTTCGTAACTAATAACGTTTACCCTGTCAAAATTGAAGTTGGAGACAGAAGATACGTAGTTTTAAGAGTTAATGGTAAATTCAAGGGTCAATTTGATTACTTCAAGAATTTGATGAATTCATGCACAAAGGAATTTTATGATAACCTTTTAACATATTTTATCAATTACGACCTTTCATCATTTAATGTACGAATCATACCGATGACTGAAGCCAAACAAGATTTAATTGAATTATCAACAAATCCTTTAGATGTATGGATAAATACACATTATGATGAATTGAGTGCAGGTATGACGTGTGAAAATGCTCTATTCTGCAAACCATCAGACATGAAAGACAAAAACTTTCAAATGAGCATTAAGGATAAATGTGATAGGAAACATAGAAGAATAGACGATAAACAAACATGGTGTTATGTTTTGAAAGAAGAAATGAAAGGATTATATAAACAGGTTGAACCAAACGATAATGAGGATTCATTTACTGACGATGAAATACCTGTAAATGATGCTTTATAAAGTATGATTGGAATTTATTTTTGCATTAATCCTGCTGTGTTGTCTAAATGTCATGTTGTCTCATTTTTTCAGAGAAGTTAATTAACCGAGTGACACATGGTGACGTAGTGACACCTTCAGTTATTCAAAAATGCTTCATAAGTGCCTTCCTCCTTAATCCTGCTGTGTTGTCTAAATGTCATGTTGTCTCATTTTTTCAGAGAAGTTAATTAACCGAGTGACACATGGTGACGTAGTGACACCTTCAGTTATTCAAAAATGCTTCATAAGTGCCTTCCTCCTTAATCCTGCTGTGTTGTCTAAATGTCATGTTGTCTCATTTTTTCAGAGAAGTTAATTAACCGAGTGACACATGGTGACGTAGTGACACCTTCAGTTATTCAAAAATGCTTCATAAGTGCCTTCCTCCTTAATCCTGCTGTGTTGTCTAAATGTCATGTTGTCTCATTTTTTCAGAGAAGTTAATTAACCGAGTGACACATGGTGACGTAGTGACACCTTCAGTTATTCAAAAATAATTAATTATTGAATAACCTGAAACCATTAACGATAAAATAACTGATAACAAAATTTTATTTTTATATAAATGGATACCCCACAAGCTCAAAATTTACCACGAATCATAACAAGGGAGGAAATGATAAAAATGATGCAAGAACCCAGAAGGGTTCGGGAAGAGGAATAAAAATTAAATTTGGATTGAGTTTAAAAATTCATCTTTATTAAATTCATCTCTTCCAATCAATTTATTTATTCTATTAAATTCTTTTATTTTTGCTTCACTCAGTTTAAGGATTGAACGGTAAGTTTCTAATTTTTCGATTATTTCTTTCCTCTCTTTATCGTTTTCAGCCCCACCGCATTGCGGCTTCTTTTTGTAATAGCATATTTTTGATTTAATTCTGTTTAGTTTCTTTTTATATTCATTGTCTGGACTCTTGGCTGCTTTGTTGTCACTCATTTCTTACGAAATAAAAAAAATTAAATATTATTTATCATTATATTTATACCTCATTAGCTTATTTTGGCTTTCATATTCATTTAATAATTCACAATCTTCATTTTTAAATTGAAGTTTAACCCATTCATGATTTAAACAATGTTTAATTAATCGCGGAATATCTGACATCATCTATATATAGCTTCTTTTATAAAAGAAAAAAATAAATTATTTTAAAATTAATGTTAATTTTTTAATGATTTATAAATAAATATATTTTAATGCATCGTCTATATATAGATGTAACAAAAAAAGTCACACAACCCGTCATATCCTACTACTAATATTGCCATAAAAAGTCGGAGATCGAATTTCGTTTAATTTTATACATATAATGGGAATATATAAAACGAAGTAGTTGACTCCAATTATGTTTAAGGATTTTTATGTAAATCCACTTCTGCTTCTCCAGTATCAATGAATGTTTCTGGTTCAGAATAACGTGGAGAACATGTTTCAGTTAAATCATTGTTTTTGATCACACAATATTCCAATGTTGATTTTCCCTTTACCAAACAAATAAATTTAAGGTTAAAACAGTCGGAACCTTTAGTTTTTCCAAAAGGAAAAATATCAATAATCAATATATTCAATATTCATTCAATGAAAGTTATGGCCAACCAAATGTAACATATAGTAGGACATCAAAATTATTTGGATATCCTTGTTCAAACAAAGATGAATGTACTAATTATGAAGTCAAATTATTACCCGCTCTATATAAGATTGAGTGTTGGGGTGCTTCTGGACGCAATGACATCAATATTAACTATAGCAATGGTGCCTACACGAGCGGATACATTGAAATTAGAGAAATAACAAAAATATATTTATATATTGGACCAACTATAGGTAAATTCAATAGTGTTCCTCCAAATGCAACAAACCATAGTGGATATCTTGCAGGAGGTGCGACAGACATTCGATTGAAAGATGGGAATTTTTATGATTTTGAATCATTGAAAAGTCGAATTATGGTTGCAGCATCTGGAGGCTCAATTGAATGGCTTATATCAACTCCAACACCTGCAGGAGGTTTGTTTTCAATTGATTCAAATTCTTCATTACGAGATACTGGGAGTTATATATTCACTGTTTATGGAGCAAATCAAACTCATGCAGGATATGGATATAATGAAAATTGTGTTCAAGGAACATTCGGAATAGCAGGATATATAGTTAATGATAATGTAGATTGGGGAGCAATAGGAGGAAATGGATATTATGCTGGTTGTTCGACATCAAATAGTGGTGGATCTACAGGAGGTTCATCATTTATTTCAGGTCATCCTGGTTGTGATGCAATTTCAAATGAATCATCTTCATTTGAAAACATCATTCATACAGGACAACCAATACATTACAGCAATATTTCTTTCTTCAATACTAAGATGATTGATGGCCAAAATAAAATTCCAGTTCCATGGTCACATTATGACGAAATCAATGAAACAGGACACAATGGAAATGGTTTTGTTCGAATTACCGTTCTTGATGAAGCTATTGTTTTGACATGTAAACCTATTAATTCATTATCATCTATTAATATTTTACCACATCTTGTCTTTATTTCTCTTTCATCATAAACTACATTTCATATTCTTTGTATGATTTTTATTATTATTATTATAATAAGTGATGGCCAATGAAATATCCCTGTTCCATGTGTTCATCAATCTGAATGATTAATATTCTCAAATCTGATTCAATGATTTATTTCAACTGAGATAATTAATTCGAGTTAAAATATTGAGAATTTTTTAATAAATAATGTCACTAGAAAAGAGTTGTTTTCAAAGAAAAATATCATATTATTATTAATCATTTCAAAAAATTGAATATGAGAATTATTGCTTTCATTGGCCTCCAGTTATATTTCAACTTTCTATATTTTACAACTGGAGTTTGACAAGAATGGATACCAGATTTATCATCTGTATCAATCACAGAATCAGTATCACATATACGATTCTCAATATTTCCCTGATTCAAATAAATTGAGGAACCTGAGATGAGTGCCTTAGTGAGATTATTTTCTGTTATCGGAATCACCCTTTTAGGTTTGAATTTAAAAAATTTGACACCAAAGGCGAAGTAATTCCTCTCTGAAGTAATTTGAGGGCTATTATAATATTTTAGTCCATCATTATTTGAATAGAATTCATTCCAAAGGTCATATTGACACTTTTACTCTTAAAATGGAATTGAACCAAAAGTGAAAAATACTAATGAATCCCTTCCTTAAAGCATGATTTCATATAAGCTCTCCAAGACAGGCATTGGTGCACTGAATGTTTCTCGCAATCTTGACCAATTCACATTTGGATTCCCATGTCAAGAATCACAGCTTGATTGTTCTCCTTACACCGTTAATCTCAGCCCTGGATCATATCGAATTGAATCACGGGGCTCTGTTGGAACCAGACAAGCATCAGATCCAAATAATCTCATTGTAGGTGGCACTCCAGGTTTGGGAGGTTATACCTCAGGAATTTTAAATTTAAATAAAAAATTAACTTTATATTTATTTATAGGCTCTAATTCCCGATTTAATAATGTTATTAAAACAGCAGCAGGAAATCCTAGTGGAGGTGCATCAGATGTCCGACTTTATGTTAATTCAAATTTCGATTGGTTTGATGATAAATCATTGAGATCTAGAATCATGGTGGCAGGTGGGGGAGGTGGTGCTGAATGGAATATGTCAATTGGTGGTAATGCTGGTGGTCTTGAGGGAGGAACTAGTATTTCACAATGTACCTCAAAAGGTCTTTGTCCAGGAGTGAATGCGACTGGTGGAACTCAAACAAGAGGAGGGATTTCTTCAACAGACAATAGTTGGAAACACGTAGATGGTGCTTTTGGTTCTGTTCAAATTGTTATTAATTCAACAGATATGGGAGGCTATGGCGGAAATGGATATTTTAGTGGTGGTTCTCTTGATTGGGCTGGCGCCGGAGGTGGTGGAAGTTCATTTATTTCAGGATTTGATGGATGTATTGCATTATTAGATGAAAATAGTAGTACATTGAGTCAAAATAGTTCTATCCACTACTCTGGATATTTCTTTGAAAGTCCTTCAATGCAAAGAGGAAATACATCAATGCCTCTTTATTACAATAAGAATGCACATGGAATTGGAAATAAGGGAAGGGGTTGTATCCGTATTACTATTCTTAATTATTTATTTACATGTCATAATAACATATATTTTAATTTCCGTTTTCTAACTCATGTTTTTGTTCTAATATATGACAAATAATAAATGTTAGGTTAATAAAAATTGATTTAACTTTTAAAGCCATCAATTTAGAGGAAAATTGAGTATTTTCTTTCACCATACCCGCAATGTCAGAAAGTACACAATCTGTCTTTTTTTATCTTCATCTTTTACATCAAGCATTTATTTGACTAATTATAGTTTTTTAAGGATACCCTTACGTGTCAGATTTTTTGCGCATACGAAGAAGTCATGCTAGACATGAGCTATAAACCTGAAATTTTAGCAACATATTTAAAACTTTTTAAACTACAATACACTTTAATATTCAAGAACAAAAATATTCTTTTTAGAAATTACATAATTATTTTATGTGAAATCTATATAAAAACATATTTTGCGAGCGTAACTTTTTTCTTTATAAGCACCTTATATGACTGATAAACTGTGAAGGCACATAATTGTTAATTCATAGAGTTGATATGTTTCCAAAATTGAGAGGAAATTTGAAAATTGAATACCCTTTCAATTCAATTTTCAAAAGATATCAGCTCCTTCAATAATTGAAGGACGATTTTGATCATTTGCTCTTAAAACAAGTATGCCATGGAGAAAAAAGTTACGCTCGCAAATCTGAAATATAACTATCATATAAAAAAATTAAATTTCTAATTTTTTACTCTATAGATATTATTGGCCACTTGTGTAATGCATAAAAGTTTATGTCATATGCATACATTTGGAAGTATGGGAGACGAGGGAAATTACTTCTATGAGGCACTAGGATTTTTAAAAATTTCTCTATCGGACTCACCATTCAATTTCTCGAAAATTAAAAAAAATCAATAATAGCTAAAATGTATTATGCATAACAAATTTTAATGTTACACGGTATTTTTTGAACTTCATGACATGAATTTTCTTTATATTATTTTTTTTGGATTTTCTATGATTTATGCGATAGGCTGGAACAACATTGTAAGTGCAATGATATCATTTATAGAGAAATCTAAAACTTCAGCATTCAGAACTCGCAACCACAAAAATATTCATTTGCTAAGTAAGTAAAGTTGATTAAGTTCGACACTTAGCTTTTATACGTAAAACCAAGTGTGTATTGTTATTTCTTGTTAAATTATTGAGAAAAAAATAAATTGTAAGAGAAACGATACTGATTATTGAAATAATATTGAGGGTAGCTGCAGATTTCTTCATTAACATGCCGGAAATTTGTTAATCTTGGTTTTCTATCATAAAATCTGTCGAAGAATCTAAAAACGGAGATATGAAATAGAGATCATGTAAATCTAGAGTATCCTGTCAGAAAAATAGACTAAGCATGTAACCCTTTTTTGGTCATAAACACTTTTTACCACTTAGTCATACAGATGATCATTAAATTTAAACGAGCACTTTTTGTCAGAATTTATTCTTTTACAAAGACAGAAGATTTTAGTATTATTTAATATTAGTGCTGTAGCAAAATTCAAAAAATGGTGAAAATTCAGTGAATTTGTGAATTCACATTTTTTTTCGACAAGTAGTAGGATAGGACGGGGTATGTGACTTTTTTTGTTACGTCTATATATAGATGAAAGTATATTTTAATGCATCTTCCATATATAGATGATATAAAAATTTTTTCTTACGTTTTTTAAAAGTCATGAATTTGTAAGAAAGTGCGACATTATTAAATAAATTAGTAATAAATATTATATACTAAACGCATTAAAAAATTAACATTAATTTTAAAATAATTTATTTTTTTCTTTTATAAAAGAAGCTATATATAGATGATGTCAGATATTCCGCGATTAATTAAACATTGTTTAAATCATGAATGGGTTAAACTTCAATTTAAAAATGAAGATTGTGAATTATTAAATGAATATGAAAAAATAAGCTAATGAGGTATAAATATAATGATAAAGAATATTTAATTTCATGGAATCAATGGAGTCATAATCAAAGACCTCATAAACGAGAAGAAGAAATGGAAAATAATGAAATGGAAATCATTGATGACATTAAAGAGGATGGAATTCCTAAATTTTGTAGAAAAACCTTTAGAACTAAGTTAGGAGCATATAAACGTAGAGTATTAAATCCTGAATACATAAAACATTTATTTAAAAAGGAAGACTGTGAATTATTAAACGCTAATGAATATGAAAATGCTAAATCAAAACTGAGATATAAATATATTGGAAGTGATGAAAGATGCAAAGATAAAGATAAAGTTTATACAGTTTCATATAATAACTGGCACACGTTAGGGATAAGAAAACATTTAGGAGATTATGGTAAAAGTTCCGAATTCTTCAAATCTAGTATATACGAGAGAGTAAAAGAAATTAGAAATAATTATTTTCATGAATAAAAGATTCACTACCATAATGAAATAAAAAATAATTTATTTCATCTTTTATAAAAGAAGCTATATATGATGTCAGATATTCCGCGATTAATTATTTTTGAATAACTGAAGGTGTCACTATGTCACCATGTCACCAGGTTATTTAACTTCTCTGAAAAAATGAGACAACATGACATTTTGACAACAGGTATGAAAGGAGGAAGGCATTTATGTCTTACATTTTTGAATAATTTATTTTTTATTTTGTATGAAACCAATTTTTAAAATAAATGAAACAGAGGAGGAAGAAATAAATGAAAGTGAAAATGTTCAACAAAAAATAAATGTTGTTAAACCATTTAAACAGATTTCTCAATAGTGCTAAAATGCAGGAAATTCTTGAGTTTTGGATGAACGAATACGGTGGAGCCAAAAGTGGCTCGACCTCAAAACAAGCATTTTATGAGCTTACAAAGGGTGTTATGAATGAATTCAAAGGTATTTACATACATCCTGACCTCGTTCATTTTGTTGCTGAATGGTGCTCTGTAAAGTATGCATTTTATGTCAAAGATATTATGGACTCCATAGACAAGAAAGTTCATGAGAAATTAGATGAAGAAGAACTCGAAGATACAGTAGAGAATGCTAAACCTTTGTTCGAACAAGAAGTTAGAAAAATGTGTGAAAAACAATTAGAACATGAACGTGAGATATATTATGGTTATAGAGATTCTCCATACGAACTAGACCAATGGGAACAAGAAGATTTAAAGAGAGAATTTAGAGAATATGAACTCGCTAAGATAGCATTAGAAACTGCAGAAAAGAAGTTAAAAGTTTGGGGTCGTTTTGTAAAAAAATATTGTGAGTAAATGTTTTCAGGTCATTCAATAATTAATTATTTTTGAAGAACTGTGGGTGTCATCATGTCACCATGTGTCACCAGGTTAATTAACTTCTCTGAAAAAATGAGACAACATGACATTTTGACAACAGTCGGGGAAATGTCATGACTTCTTCGTAAATGTTTTGTCATGATGATTTCATCGTAAACTCTATGTCAAACATGAACGTAAACTCTATGTCAAACATGAACGTAAACTCTATGTCAAACATGAACGTAAACTCTATGTCAAACATGAACGTAAACTCTATGTCAAACATGAACGTAAACTCTATGTCAAACATGAACGTAAACTCTATGTCAAACATGAACGTAAACTCTATGTCAAACATGAACGTAAACTCTATGTCAAACATGAACGTAAACTCTATGTCATGACTTCTTCGTAAATGTTTTGTCATGATGATTTCATCGTAATGAGTGTAAATGACCCAAAAATAATGTTTACGTTAATGTTTTCAGGTTATTCAATAATTAATTATTTTTGAATAACTGAAGGTGTCACCAGGTCACCATGTGCTACCAGGTTAATTAACTTCTCTGAAAAAATGAGACAACATGACATTTTGACAACAACACAGGAGGAAGGCAGTTATGAATTATTTTTATTTATTTTTTATTTTGTATGTAAGAACAGTAATGTCGGTCGAAGCAAAAACATTCACGAACAAATCTAATGGTGAAACATTCACAAAAGGCACTTATAACGGTATTGAAGTCTTACGTAGAGACAAGGATGGTTACATTAATGCAACAAATATGGCAAGAGAAGCGGGAAAGTTAAACCATTTAAACAGATTTCTCAATAGTGCTAAAATGCAGGAAATTCTTGAGTTTTGGATGAACGAATACGGTGGAGCCAAAAGTGGCTCGACCTCAAAACAAGCATTTTATGAGCTTACAAAGGGTGTTATGAATGAATTCAAAGGTATTTACATACATCCTGACCTCGTTCATTTTGTTGCTGAATGGTGCTCTGTAAAGTATGCATTTTATGTCAAAGATATTATGGACTCCATAGACAAGAAAGTTCATGAGAAATTAGATGAAGAAGAACTCGAAGATACAGTAGAGAATGCTAAACCTTTGTTCGAACAAGAAGTTAGAAAAATGTGTGAAAAACAATTAGAACATGAACGTGAGATATATTATGGTTATAGAGATTCTCCATACGAACTAGACCAATGGGAACAAGAAGATTTAAAGAGAGAATTTAGAGAATATGAACTCGCTAAGATAGCATTAGAAACTGCAGAAAAGAAGTTAAAAGTTTGGGGTCGTTTTGTAAAAAAATACTGTGAGTAAATGAACCATTTATTTTTGTCATAAAGACGCAACGTGGCGGGGCATAGCCCATGACCCAAAAATAATGTTTACGTTAAGTGACTCAAAGAGTCCGGAGACAAAGTCTCATGTTTTTAGGTTATTCAATAATTAATTATTTTTGAAGAACTGAAGGTGCTACCATGTTACCATGTGCTACCAGGTTAATGAACTTCTCTGAAAAAATGAGACAACATGACATTTTGACAACAACACAGGAGGAAGGCAGTTATGAATTATTTTTGAAGAACTGAAGGTGCTACCATGTTACCATGTGCTACCAGGTTAATGAACTTCTCTGAAAAAATGAGACAACATGACATTTAGACAACACAGCAGGATTAATGCAAAAATAAATTCCAATCATACTTTATAAAGCATCATTTACAGGTATTTCATCGTCAGTAAATGAATCCTCATTATCGTTTGGTTCAACCTGTTTATATAATCCTTTCA